CAAATACGATACTCAGAACAACTTAATGTAGTTTACTATTGTTAAAATAATTGGATTAAGGCCATTTTTCACCCTGATCACTCTTATTTGCACAACCGAGCTACTGACTGAACAGTTTTTTTAACTAAATGAAAAATTGGGCTTTTCAATCTTTTGTTTTAAGTCCTTAAAAAATTGGGGTCACGACGCGTTCTCTAAGTATTTCAGATTTTTAAATTTGTTATCACATCTCGTTCTAGCACACAAACACCTCCACTGTTGCTAAAACACTTTTCTTCCATTTTCTGAAGTTTTCCATGGAAACATATCGTCCACCACGTTTTCCTTTTTTTCGGTTTTGAAGCGAAAAAAGTCATGATTGAGCCAATTTGACTCGCAACATGTAGGGATAAATAGTCCTTCCATAGGACACGGATAACTATAAATGTAGGAAATGTTGGTCTCTTGCGTGGTCATTGAGAGAGCCGACTCATTCACTCACCCAAGCACACGTGACCATGGCGTGATGCACAACATAATCCGCACTGGCAAAGCGGGCACGGCTCCCTTGTGATAGTTATCTTGCAAAGTGAAGTCAAATTATTTGAATAAAGGGGGTAAGTTTCAAAAGAAACTGCGTTACTGCGTCGTTAGAGGAGTACAACAAGATAATTTGGTTTTATCAACTGAGTTAATAATGTAAATTGCCCACCGTAAACAGTTTCAAAGCTGACACTTCAAGCGTTGAAACTCTTTACGGTGTACAATTTACATTATCAACTCAGCTGATAAAACCAAATTATTAAATTATTTGAGTTAGTTGATAGGATAGTTGTGTAGGGATTTTTTTTCTTTCGGAAAAATCTTATGGATATCTAATGGTTTAAACCCGGGAGTAACATCTTTTGAGCTATTAAAATTTAATCAGGTGGTAAATATTATTTACTGATACGCAGAGATCAGATACAATTCAACCAACTGTCGATGAGAAGGTTTAAATGAAGATGCATGTTTTTTTCTTTTTCATTTTTTTTCTTGCCGTGACTCACTGTGCACAAGGTATGCGATGCCTACAATATATTGTAAGTGATACGCAAAGGTGAATAATTGAAATTTAGGATACTTCTCCCTTTCCAATTTTTAACCCTTTGTGGTGTAGAATCATAGGTCGACTTAAAGACATAGTGCTTTCTTTTATTTGTAGCTAACAATAAATCTACTGAGAAAAAAGGCTAGGGCGCTATGAGTTAGACAAACTGAGGAACTGAAATAAAATAGGTTTCAATAGAAACGAAAAATATTTCTCGCAAAAGTGATACCTTT